TAAATTTATTAAAATTATTAAATTTTTAATTATTATTAAATTAATTAAATTCTTCTAATTATTCAACTGTTGCATAATATCACACAAAACGCAACTGAGACACTGAGGTATATTCTCCATAGAAAAGGACGCATATCTCTGAAGCATATTCTTAGTTCTACACACTTGAGAGGTTCATGTGGATCGATAAAGACAACAAAAATTTCATGCACTCTATCAATATAGAGGTATTAATAAGACACCAGCAACGTAGTAGTGCGTAACAATACTTTATCACATCGACAATCATTCTATCCGGAGCGGTGCACATCACTTTCAGCACATAGTACCACTGGGCTCACATGAACACTTTACATCGACAGGCGATGCTGACATTGGGTTTACACCACGAAGCAGGGTCTGAATGCTCGTATGCAAAGTGAGCGCGAGACGGCGCCATGCTTGCAGAGTAGTCTTCTTATGCGCGTGCTGACTGGCAACAACATAAGGAGCACGACTCACTACCTCCAGCAACATCTGTGGCACCAATAGACACTGACACACTGCCCATTCTCGTCAAACCGCAAACCGAAAGACTCATACCTCAAGAGCACAAGATCTGTGTGACCAAGTTCCGCACTTAGCCATCAGCCCCCCCCTCAAAACATTAACTGAGGTGACCCCGTCACCTTGACAAAGGCTCGCGAGACAACTCAAGACCAGTCGTAGTAAACCGAATATCAGACCGCCCATTAGCAACCCTTATCACACAGACAACAATACGACTAACAAGCGACTACAGCCAACCACAACTTGCTCCCAACAGAGAGCCCATGATCGGCGCCTCTAAACACTAACCCCTCCGCGCTTTCACATCCATAGATTTCTTTTGTGAAGCCAGCTATAATAACGCTCCTATACTCAAAAATCACACAAACAATAAACGATGCAGTTTTTACCATAAATTATTACCTCAAACATTAACGTGTTCACCGGTTTTTTATCTCCAATACACCACTTGACATGCGTTTGTAGAGCTTTCGAAAGCGATATGTAAATCCAGTAAAATACAAGCCACACTCACCTCTAACACACTAGATCCCCCTCTCCTTCCTCTCTCTACAATACGCCCATATCTGCTAAACGCCTATTTGATGACCCCTTGCACGCGCCTATCTCAACACAAAGAATCGGCTCGATCTCCCGTGCCAAAAATACAAGACCTTTCTGCCGAGGACGCGGCCGGCCAGGTGCGGACTGTCATCCCCAACGATCTACGGAAGCAGTGCGACGCAGTGCGAGCGGATTTCTGGAACTTTCGCTCGTACACTGTCGACCCGTGCGAGTGCAACGGGCCACGCGGCGCTGTGCGACCAGCGCTCCGGTGCCTGCATCCGCACGCACACACGCACCCACGCACGCACACCCAAAATGTTTATTGCTATATGATTAATATACAGATATAGGAGGAATTGACCCTCTCGAGGATCATCCCATCGACTAATCGTCTCTAGAGTACAGCTGATGATGATGCTGATGCTGATGCTATAGAGCTGATGCGAGTGTTATAAAGCTAGAGAACGTAGAGAACATGCAGCCGATAGCAAGTATAGATACAGCGAGTATTGATAGTGACTACAGATACAGCGAGTATAGATACAGCGAGTATTGATACAGTGACTACAGATACAGCGAGTATCAATACAGCGACTACAGATATAGCGAGTATAGATACAGCGAGTATAGATACAGCGAGTATTGATACAGCGACTACAGATACAGCAAGTATAGATACAACGAGTATTGATACAGCGAGCAGAGATACAGCGAGTATTGATACAGCGAGTATTGATACAGAGAGTATCGATACAGAGAGTATCGATACAGCGAGTACAGATACAGCTAGTATCGATACAGCAAGTATTGATACAGCGACTACAGATACAGCGAGTATTGATACAGCGAGCAGAGATACAGCTAGTATCAATACAGCGACTACAGATACAGCGAGTACAGATACAGCGAGTACAGATACAGCGAGTATCGATACAGCGACTACAGATACAACAACTACAGATACAGCGAGCAGAGATACAGCTAGTACAGATACAGCGAGTATCGATACAGCGACTACAGATACAACAACTACAGATACAGCGAGCAGAGATACAGCTAGTACAGATACAGCGAGTATCGATACAGCGACTACAGATACAACAACTACAGATACAGCGAGCAGAGATACAGCTAGTACAGATACAGCGAGTAT